GCAACGGTTTTGATTGCTCTTCAAGAAGATAGGAAAGCTTGTAGCCCTTGGCATGTCGGCCCATTGCATTTTTAGGATGATTTTTTTGCGGTTGTTTTCGTACGTGAAACTTGTCGTTGTTTTAGATCACAGCCTTAAGATAAAATTTTTATGGACGTACAGAGTACACTATATAGTCTCTTGCTTTTCTTCCCAGAAGTGATATTCGTTTTTCCGCTTCGAAATGATAAGCGTTACAGGAGACGGGACCATTAATGGAATTATTTTTGACGACTGGTTGCTTTCAAATCAGCATCGGGTCTGATTCCCAATGACTTCTTTGTCACTGTTTTTTTCTAAGGTAGATAATGATGGATTGCGCTGCACAAGGAGAAATTAGAAGACTATGCGACATTATAGCCATCTAGGGTGTTACTGCTGTCTTCAAGAACAAGATGGCGCTTCTGACTGAATATACTGAATCACATGTCCGGTAAGAAATATAGGCTATGTGCAAATGGTGCTATCGTTTCCACCCACCGTGGAAGTTCATGGCAGATTTACTTACCACTGGTTACGAAATTTTTCTTCCTCCTTCCTCTTATTAGCATTTGTTCGAAAAGATGCATAAAAGAGTTACAGAAGGTTTATAATTAGCGATAGTTTCGTTTGATTATCATAAACCCAGCTTCTAGGTTTCAGTCGAGGAAAGCGAGCAGCAACCAGAGTAAAGGATCGAAGTTAGGGCTAAGTGCTATTGAGGCGATTGAGGATATTTTCCTTAACGGTAAATTCCTGTCATGAACTCGGAAACGGTCGTCAGCTAACAAAATGGTTTAGGTGCATCGTTATGTGTTTAAGACAAATCTGTTCAAGGAAGGGACATTGCTTACAGACTCGGACCAAAGGAATGAGGTGACCGTGGGCATTAGTTCAAACTCCCTGAAAGCACGGTGATATCTTTTCACCGGACGTCTAACTTTCCAAAATAAGATGACTTCTTAGCTAACCTTATGAATGAGTGAAAAGAGTCTAATCGACTTGATGACAGAAAGAAATAATAGTGACGAGCTTTTCTTCTTTTGGATGGTCGAAACAGGAGGAATCATCATCATCCGTTTACGATCCACGGCTGAATGAAGGCTTCCCGAAAACTTTGCCAAAAATGGATTTTCTGCTATGCGTCCATGTTGATGCAGCGAACTTTTTAGCTCGTCCTGAAAAATGGGAAATGCAGTGAAGCAGTGTTGCCCAAATTTGTATATTGATGTCGACATTCTTCCGGGAAGTGACAAGTATCATTTTTCGAGGACAGGGCAATTTGTTGTTCACCTGGCGCGTTCTGGTGTTAAAAACCATCCAGTTCGGTTGGTTGACGAGCATTCAATATCTGCTTGCAAACGGCTTTCATCTGTAGAAAGCTACATCTGCGAAGGAACTTGGAAGCAGTCAGACACCAGTGCCTTCTTTTCCCGAATTTTAATCAGATGGTAATCAGTCATCCGTTCCAAAGTTGTACTCAACGTATCGACGCAAGGCAGCAGCGGTTATGGATCGATCGATTAGAGCAGTTAAGTCATCTTGAATTCGCTGACGACGTCCTGTTGATTACGTAACATACCGTCCCACTGCAAAAAAATGCAGAAAGAACTCGACAGAAAAGTGGATAATCCGAAACAAAGTACATTTGATCAGATACTCTACAGAACGATTAATGAAGAGCCTAAAGAAGAAGTGGAAAATTACTTCCATTTGGACAAGAAAGTTTACACGTGATATGAAGGAAAAACCGATGTCTCGCATGAAGAAATAAACACGTTGACGCTCGCTCAACTCAAAGGGCATCCTACTTGAGAAAAGCAACGATGCAAAACGGATCTATCTTTCCAACTCAATCGGACTGCCAGCGATGCTGTACGATGGCGAAACTTGGTTCTGACGAACGGTACTGAACATTAACTCTCTGTTCCTGAGCGAGCCATAGAAATGCTAATGTTAAACGTTTCACTCTTCGACCTTATCCCTATGCATGGATCAGCCAGCAAACTGAATTTAAAGATTTCATCGTCGAAAACAGGGAAGACAATATACGGTGGGTTGGACATGTAACTCACGCAACTTACCACCAGTAGAGAGCGGTTACTACCATGTAGTACCCGCGGGATTGTAAAAGACCTGTTGGTCGCCCTCTGAAAGAATGTAACGATTTCATCTCTAACCTGCGTCTACCACCATTGTGACAAGGAAAAGCCGGGATGAACAAACGATAGGGAAAGTATTGTGACCGGAACAGTTTATCTGATTACTGAACACCGGTCGATCAAGGAATGAAGCTAATAAACAGTTGCATTTTCGTTATCCTGCTTTTATACACCGATGTTTGTTACGACTCGGCAACAGTATGACGTTCATTCAGTCTGTCATCGAGTTCTGATATGCTTCTTTTGCTTTAATGTTCGAAAGTTGTTTCTAAAATTTAATGGCTACAACCTTACCCTGATTAAAGCCAAAGTTTTGAGCGGAGAACACTGACTATGGTCATCGTAAGAAAGCATCTAGTCAAACAGCATCACTGTAAATGCAGTTAGCTAGTTGCGTTGTTTTTCACCTTGTGTCTCTTGAGTTGATTGGTTATCCCAGAAAATGACTAGATCATTTGCTTGAGAAGCGCTGGCTCTAAAATCGACACCTTGACTGCACGCGCATGTAGCCATTGAATTTTAGTTGTGTTTCGATATTTGTTAACTTGTTTTGAGATTTATTATTTTTGAGACATTAGGACGGGTTAGCATGTTTGGTTAGCAGTCAGCCAGACTTCGGCGTCACGACTGTTCCAGAAATATGAATGTTCGCTCGTTTAACGTTGTTTCTTTGCTTGTAGTTGAATCAGATCAGCCCTCCTGTTTTCACCGAAAAGATAACGGCCGTTCTTAATTCGAAGCCGCAGTCCAATCTGTTGCCGTTTTTGGAGGTAAGGCAAGCGAAGTTTGACTTTTTTCTGTACGTGTTCGTCGCAGAACTATTTGGTGATTAGTGATTTTAGCGGAAACTGGTTCGCAGCAGAATTTCAGTATTACTTTGCGATCATTCGTGATCTCTTTGTTTTTCATTTTCATAGCCCGCTATTCTACTGTAATTGTAGAGGGCACCGCGATTTCAAACGGCTTTTCCAACGATTTCATTCCTCCGCCATTCGGTCAAACTTCAAAAGCGAAGCTTCAG